TCGGTGCTTCACTGACTGTCGCTAAATCCCTGCCACTCCTAATCCCAGAATCTGTTGAGCCTTTGAAGCTGTCAACCCCTCCAAAGTACATCTCTGGACGGATAAACACTGAAGCATGAGGTTTTACAGCGGTTTCGGTATGGTATTCTAATGGTTGCTATAAGGGTTGCCATGAGGTATCATAAGGGTGAAGCATAGACATTCCAACAAACAGATGGTAAAGCCCATATGAACAGAATACAAAGGCCACGACAGATACACAAAGCATCACACACAAACCAGCTATCGACGCTTACACCTGTACAAACCCGACCCATAAACGTCAGCACTGAATCTTACAACTTACGTACAACCACACACGGTCAAGCCCCGCAAGCCCTACCGAACTTTTGCAAAGCCCTGATAGCAACCCGCCAGGAATCCTTACTGGAGCCACAAAAAGATCAAGCCCTAAAGCCCGAGGCAAAGACCTTGAGGTTTCTTGCTTGGGTTTCAGGTTTAGGGGTTAAGGGGTTAATTAGGGGGTCTACCCCGAAAGCCCAACGATCACAGGCGAGCCTTGGCTTGGGCCCTTTGCAGAGAAGCCGCCGAAACTGGGCGATGCTTGCGCAGGGGGGCACAGACAATCAGGATGATGTTAGGGCTGTGCCTGTGGGGTTTGCTGTAGGACTCTCAGATACTTTTGTGAGGTTTTTCTTCAGACTTTTGGAATACTGTTTCTGCATGTAGCAATCTCGAAAAGACTCTAGTTGTTGCTCTCCTTCTCTGGGGATCGGGGTTTACCGATGTAGCAACCTAAGGACTGACTGCTTTGAGAGATATACCAGTTGCAGGATGACATGCTGCAGTTCGGTGGGGTGTGGGGCGACAGGTGGGTAGTTCAGTGTTTACAAGAATTGCATCAGACAAGAGTGGCTTGCGGCCTCCAGGCCAGTGTTTCGTTGGGAGCATTCGGGGCTTGGGGTCGTAGAGTGTATCTCGGCTTAGGAGGTTGTTGTGCGGGATGGTACCTTTGACGTTTGGCCCTACTTGCACACTGGGTTCTGGCTACGGGCTGCTCATCGATTTAGGATACGATGTACGGCGTGAACTCTTTTACCAGCTCGATCTCCTTGTTGTGGTAAGTGAAATGAGAGTTTCCGAAAATAGGGGACCCTAATATAGCACCCGAAATAGTAGGATCCGTATTCTAAGGACACCACAATGAGGTACCCCCTGATGTCGGAAACTCTAAACCCTAAACCCTTTATAGAACCCCTATAGATCCCTTTAAGGAGCCCCTAAAGGATCCCTTAAAAGGTACCGCCTGATTTCGGAAACTCCCAAACTGCACCTCCTGGACGCGGACCAAAACTCTGGTAAAGTACGTTGCCTTGCAGGGAATGCCAGCTAAGAAGGCCCCCCAACCCAGCCTTGTCCTTTTTCATGGTGCCCCCAAAAGAACAAACAGACCGGCTAGTAGACCTTGTTAAATAATTCCTACTAAGGGTTATAGGTATAGGGCCCAACCTGCTTGTATTTACTGCAAATATTAGTAACAATGATGATATGGTCTAAATTTATATGATTTTCTTATTGGATCAGTATAATATATTGTTGGCCCTCCCTGAAGATGAGGGGTCTTGGTAGGTAATCACTGGGGTCTACACGGAATTGCAAGACGGAGCGACTCAAGCAGGATATGTAATAACAGTCCATAAGGCAACTAGCCACCCAGCCCCCTCATGCCACAAATGCGGCTGGTCTTTTGCGTTGGGGCTGGTGGGGAATTGCCGTTGTGCGCAGAAGGCTTTTGGCGAGTGCAGGGTATTTGTTTTTTGCACACTCGATTCAGGAGTTCAAGTTTGGGCTCAGCTTTTGAGACACAGCGCGGCGTTTGAAGCGGGCATTCTTGAAGGACGTGATTTCCGAGATTGAGAAGCGTGAGGAGAATTCCTTGGACGACTTGTCCGAAGCACCGAATGGATGCACCTTGAACTGAGCGAGCCTATTCGGAAGGGCGGCATGCTTCGTGGCACATTTCCGAGGGTGGCGTCTCGGCTCCACCGCAATGCCATGTGCTGCATCCTGCGCTTCGTCCGTTCGTGGGCCGTAAGTCTGAGCCACGGTTTGTCTCAACCCTAAACTCGAAGCCTAAACGCTAAACCCCAAACCCAAAACCCGTTTGTCTCAACCCTAAACCCTGCACCGAAATCCGCACATCCGCAGGGTTGGCCCTGGTATCTCGCGACATGGCCGGCATGAAGGCGGCGCAGGGGCCGAGTTTTGCGCTGTTTGGTTTGCAGACTCCTGTCCCAAAGGGTCCAAGTAATGCTATAGTATATACTTTTGGGACCCAAATGCCTACGATCATGGTGCTTGGGCCCTTTGGGCTTAGACTGCAGGTACACCAGTGTCTCGGGCTCCAGTTATCGAAACTAAAGGGTTCCCAGGGTACATATTATGTGGGTAGTTGTCGAAATTATGGTCCCTTTTGGGGTACCCTAAACATAAGGTGCCGGACTATATTAAGGAGCCAAGAAGGGACCATAATTTTGACAACCACTCGTTTGATGAGTAACGTACTATCCAGGTGGCTGCAGCCCTGGGAATACTGTCGGACTTGTGCAATGGGGCTGTAGATCGTAGGGTTTGGGTCAACGTAGGAAACCCCAAAAGGGTCCAAGTACCATTTTCGTAGGTATTTGGGCCCCAACAGTATATAGTATACCACTACTTGGATCCTTTGGGAAACACTATTCACCTTGTTCCATTTCGAGCCTTGGAATTCTAGGTTGAGATGAGGCCCTGGGCCGCAACCGCAAAGCCCCAAGCTAGAACGCCGGATCCCAAGGACTGGCACCCTAAGGCCCTTGAAGACCCGAACTCTCAGCCTCAAAGCCGCCACACCCTCATTCTTAGCCCTATAGACCCCACACCCCCTAAGACTCTAAATCCCAAAACCTGATGTCCCAAAAGTCCTACAACCGAATGCCCTAAGACGACTGTCCCGAGCAGGTGTCCGAAAAGACCCTGAGAGTGTCATGGTCCCCAAGAGGCGACCCTAGACCTGAAAGTGCTATACAAAACAAGAAAGCAGTACTGTATGGTCCCCAAATCTGAAACCCTAAGCCCTAAACCCAAACCCAACCCTAAACCCCACCTAGACCTCAAAGAATCTACCGTTTGGGGGCTCCCTACTATGATTTCCTTTTTGAAAGTCCTTAAGAAGGTCAAGGTAGGTTCTTCAGGGTCCATGCAGACTAGAAGCCTGCTCCGTTTGAGCGCAAGAGCCTGCTCCTTGGGGTCGAAGGCCTTCTGGATGAATTTTCTATAGGGGCCTCAACAATTACCTATACTAATTTGGGGCTTCCTTATTATAAGTATGGTATTATGGGCCCCAAACCCTGATTATTCTAATTATTAAGGCCCCTATATGACTTGAGCTACTTGAGTCCAGATGCCCGGATCAAGGAGAAGCCGCCCCATACCCTATCAACCCCAACCCTCTAGCCCGTACGGCCGTGTACCCTATCAACCCCAGCCCTCTACCCTATACGGCCCCATACCCCATCAACCCCAACCTTAACCCCCAAACCCCATACGGCCCTATACCCTATCAGCCTCTACCCTATGCGGCCTATTATACCCTTTCAGCCCCAACCCTAAACCCTATCAACCACCATCCCCAACCCTACTAAACCCTAAACCCCAACCCTAAATCCCTAAACCCTAAACCCTAAGCCCTAAATCCCTAAGCCCTAAACCCTAAACCCTAGACCCTAAGCCCTAAACCCTAAACCCTAAATCCCTAAACCCAAAGCAGGAGACCGTTTCGACTTGCGGGCCTCTGCCATGCGCCCAGGGGTGCAAAGTAGTTTTTGTTTGGGGGTAGGGAGTTTCAGGGTTTCTAGGCTCGGGTTTAGGTTCAGGTTTAGGTCCAAAGTTTGTAGTTTATGGTTTAGGCTTTGGGTTTAGGTTTAGGGGTTGTTCGCGCAGCGTTTGGGGACTTGGTTGAGGCCTCAGAGTTCAGGCGCTTGACAAGGTTGCTGTTTGAGCACTTCTGCATGTCATGCTCGCAAATTCCAATTGGTTTCGTCCTTGTAGCGTTTTTGTCATGGTACAAAAAGGATCTAGAGGCTTTGTTTGTGTGTCGTGCATGCTTGTGTTGCATTGCTATGGGAACGGTTTGGCGCTTGCAGGGTCAGCAGGTTTCTGCCTGAGGAGATTGTACCCGTTCTATCTCCATAAATCATTTCATTAACGTGCATCTTGAATACGAGTATAATATGCATACTATTAAGTATCATTGCTTGGTACCCATCCAAACTACGTAAATCATTGCATTAACCTGCATCTTTGATACGACTATGCATACTATTGAGTTGCTTGGTTCCACTTTCGCCTCAACTTCTGTGCACGTGGTCGTGGACTTGGCCCGCCACACTTGGGAGTTTCCGAAAATTAGGGTTACTTCATTTTGGGGTCCTCATAATAAGGATCCTACGATTTGGGGCGCTATATAGGGTCCAGATGATGCTTGATTTCACGTAGCTTTTTTTGTCCAACTCTGTGGTTCAAGGCTGAGCTCAAGATATGCATGAGCAAAGAGAATCTGCAACCTCTTCTTTTAGGGTTAAGGGTTCAGGGGTTTAGGGTTCAGGGTTTAGGGGTTTATGAGGTTTAGGGTTCAGGGGAGATAATCTGCAAAACGCTGCAGCCCAATTCGTTGATGTTGGCCAGAAGTCATGTCACTCCGGATGATTTCTGAAGCCAACGTGTCATTTACCCGAAAATGGAAGCTGCATATCCACACCCCCGGAGCACGAAGTCCGTGAAAATAGGTGTCTGCATATGTTGAGACTATCTTCCTACACTTTCTAGGATGCCCAGTAGTACCCTTATTCCCTTTTTGTAGTCCTAGGTTCCTTATCAGTTACCCAATACCAAAAAGAGAGGCCTTATTATTCTTAGGTTACTGGGTATCCTAGTTATTTAGGCCTGTGTTTTTAGACTCAGCCATGAGCGCGTGGCTTTGTCGCGGAGTGAACAGAACACGGCGAAGCTTCTTGGAGCTTTGAGGAGTTATTGTAGAAATACCTTAAACTACCAAACCCTACTTTTTTGTAGGTTCTTATAGTTAACCCTAATATGGAATTTATAGGGACCCTACAAAAAAGGTAGGTTTTCGTAGGTTAAGGTAGATATTTTCCCCGCAGACCGCAAAACTCCTAAACCCGTCAAATCAAGTCTGGACATGTTTATGTAAAAAACACACACATACATACACGTATGCATACGTAGACCCTGGGGCTTTCAAAACTGCGCCACAGCAGGACTTCTCTTTCAGGCCCGGCTAGCGCGTCTGCTGTACGGCTAGATGCATCTAGGCCTCGTGCACTCTGTCTAGCCTGCGAGGCCCATTTCAAGGCCCGCTGTGCAGGGATTTGTGGTTAAGGCCGAGGCTGACTTGTCGAGCATGGCCGGTTTTTATCACTAGGTCTGTGCCTGAACAGCCGACCCCGGAGGTTGTGCCAGCAGGAGACTTACATGCCGCAAGCCCAACGTCAGCGGGAACTACACCCCAAACCCAAACGGAAACGCCTCAACATTGCACAGGAACCCTACTCAGAGAGTCCGACACGCCTTGAAATCCTGCGTATCCTTTCGAAATCGAACTGCGAAGCCATTGCTGGAGATGTTCCCGCTGGTTCTTGGTCGGGAAGTGGGTCACAGGGGCTACAAAAGGGACCGACCTTAAGGGAATATCATAGGGATCCATCATGCCTTTGTAATTAGTATAGGGTTCTTTCAAAGGGGTCTATAAGGGTTACTATAAGGGATCTATAAGGGTACTATACTATGTAATTTCCCAGTTCCCTAGCAAGAACCGGGGAGTCGTGAAAGGCTTTGCAGCGAGGCAGCTGCTGAGATTTCATGCATCTTCCACGACCCAGATAGCACTCTGGAAGCAGATCGGCGGGTTGGTGGGTTTAGGGTTTAGGGTTTGGGGAGGATTTTGGATGTCGGTTGTTGGTTGTGGACATTGGTGGCTTCCGGTTTGCTCCAGGGTTGTTGGGTTCTAGGGGTTTTTATCCCACAGGTCTTAGTTCTAAAAGAAAGACTAATCCGCGTCTGGGTCCGTAGTGTTGACAACAATATGACCGTCAGACCAAGGCTCTCAGTACAGATCCCTTTTGAATAACCCCACTCCGCTAGTTCTCATTACAGCTTGAAGAAACGGAGCTTTTCAATGCGATCGTTTAAATTGCTTCAGAGCAGCTTAGCAATCTTCGCTCATCCTAGAGTCTCGAGGTCCTTTGGACGAAGTTTTACACCTTATTAGATGTAGATCGTTGCAGTGCGTCCTGAACCCGAAAGCCTGCAGCCCAAAGTTTGTCAGCCACAGATTAAGACTTCGGATTCACGGCTTGACAATGAATCTACATATATCAAGTTCTTGGGAGATCCACCACACAAGGACCTCCGAACATAAGCCGTGCAAGCGAAGACCTCGCAACGAACCCCCACCGAACAGCAGACGGTGTAGAGGCCGTACTCCAAACCCTACTTCGTCCTCAAAGCAACCCCAAAAGCCGACAGCCTTTGCCCAATCCCTGGAACCCTAAAGCCTGAGCGCCACAACCCGAAACCCAATCCTTGAAGCCGAAACTCTACCAGGACCTTTCTAGCAGCCCTGACTGTAACTCTGCACCCCAAGAAAAAGTCCGAGAAGGACTGGCCTAAGCCTGGTCGTGTGGGCATGAGCCTTGCATGCCTAGGTTGGATTTTGGGACATTTTTTATTTTCCTTATTTGGGTTTATAAGGGGCCTATATATAAATATTTTTCAGGGTGTTTAAAGGCCAACCCAGATGCCCTTTGAGGTTTAGCGGTTTCGGTAGTCGGGGTTTAGGATGGTTTGCAGCTTTAGGAGTTTATACGGGTTTGGGGTTCAGGGGTTTGGGATTGACGGCTTAGCTTGGAGATTTCGGAGTTTGGCGGCTTGGGGGCGGTTCACTTTACTCAGGTCTATGCGGAGGCTGTACATGGTTCTGCCATGAATTCACCCTAAACCCTAAATCCCTAAGCCCTTAATCCCAAACTCCTAAATCCCTAAACCCCAAACCCTCAACCCCAAACCCCTGAACCCTAAGGCAAGGTTTGTTTGTGCTGAGCTTGTTGATAAGGGTCCTGGGCTCCTTGGGTTTTAGGGTCGGGCTTTTCGGGTTTAGGGATTTTGGGGGTTTGGGGGTCGTTTTTTTTGGGGTTGAGGGGTTTGGGGTCTAGGGGTTTGGGGGTTTAGGGGTTTGGGGTTGGGGGTTTTGGGGTTTAAGGGTTTAGGGGTTTGGAGTTGAGGGGTTTGGGGTTGAGGGGTTTGGGGTCTAGGGGTTTAGGGGTTGAGGGTTTTGGGGTTTGAGGGTTTAGGCGGGTTTGGGGGTTGAGGGGTTGAGGGTTTCAGTTTTGCAAGATCGTACGTGCTGGGTTTAGGTTTGAGGTCTGTTGAGATTGCTTGCCGAATGCACACCGGATCTTCTGGAGGGGTCGTGGAGGGGTTCCTGTATGTTCTGATGTCCGGCGGATGTCAACAGGCCCTCTTGAGGTTAGTTAACCATTTAAGGTTTAGGGCTTAACAGGTTTCTCGGGGTTAATTTCTGGTTTTAGGGTTTACGGCTTATAGGGTTGGTATAAAGTTGCAGCTAAGAGGGATTCTGTTGTGCGGGTTCCCTTTCACAGGGTGACGAAAGCCTGCTTCCACCCACACACCCACCCACCCACCCACCCACCCACCCGACCCACCCACCCACCCACCCACCCACCCACCCTGGCAGTGGCTCTTTTGGGTGCTTGTTCTGTGGGGTCCACTCGGTCCCCTTCCGCAAAGCGAAAGCCTCGCGTCGGATTTGGCGGGTGTAGGAAAAGGTGAATTTCGGTATCCTTGTCTCGGGGTGAATTAAAACGGCAAAGCCTCAAGGCTCAGCTCTTAACCCAGGATGTTGGGTGGGCAGTGGATAAAAGCTCAAAAGCGTAGGGCTGGTAAGGGGACGCCTGGGTCTAGAGCACCTCTTACTTAAGGGTTTTTATCCGCTCATTCAATAGTCGAGGGGGCTAGAACCTGAGGTTTTATGCATTGCCTGCTCAACATCTTGGGAGTAGGACAAATAGAAAGGCTTTAAGAGTCAGCTGATGAAGCCTGGGAAGGTGTTGATATGCAACGACCGCAGCAATCTTTTGCTGCTCTCGACTGCCTTTCGCGTCCTACTTTCAGCCCTCCCTCTTCTCAGCCATGACATACGAGCACCGCTTCGAAATCGAGTGCCTCGAATGCGGCAGCTGTGATCTCCGCTATGCCGAGGCTTCCAGTTTCGGAGAGGTTCTTCTACTAGCTTCAGTGATAGGGCTACGTGGAGTGGTTTTCTAGGGGGAGGTGGACGTCTTCTAGATCTAAGTTCCTTGTTTCCTCGCCGCAGGACAACCGTGTCTTTTGCCACGACTGTGGCACCTTGGCTTGCGGCGTTGATCCGCTCGGGCTGAAAGAGATCGACGAGGATTGCTTAGGTTTTTAAAAGGGCCTCGGGTAGGACTTATTGAGGTGTAGCTTTTGGAGGTAGTCTAAGTGTGGGAGCTTAGCATTGTGGTTCACATAGATACGTAGAGGACGATCACGTGGACGTCACCGTCTATGACTGCATGGATCAGGCTACGGGGAAGTTGTACCAGAAGGCCAGCTTCCTTTCAAGTTTCGGGGTTAAGTAGGGTCTAGCGTTGGGTTCTCACGGTGCCCTGCCATCCCCGTTGTCTCCTGTGCGGGAGGCGATCCACACCCATCGGAGCGACTTCAACAAGAAGCGCTGGCGGTACACGGCCCGGTGCCGCCCGGGTGGACGCTGGACAGCATTCTTTTTTTTCTTTTTAGGGGGGGGGGGGTGGTGTCTTAGGGTCAGGTTTTCCTTATCTCGCTAGGCTAGCTGGGGGTCCAAAGACTGAGTCTCCTGGGGGTGTGTGGCTATGGTTCAAATAGATGCTTTCTTTCGGGGGCTCTGATTGAACCTCGTTCCCCCAAAACCCACCCACCCACCCACCCACCCACCCCTTACCCCCAAACCCTGAGCTGCATGCAAAGCTAGACAGGCACCCGCATCCGAGAGACCTGGTTTTAGAAGAGCCCCTGAAGCCTTGAATGAGGCAAGCTGAAGACATGAGACAGCAAGAACCTACAAAGCCCTCTAAAAACCCTCTAAGAGCACCCCTGTTTGCTAGGATTGGCTTGGGTCAGCTCGGAACCGCCGTACCTCGGCTCAGTGGCCCCAAGTCGGGAGCAGAGCTTAAAACTTAACGCTTCTAGAGGGCTTAGGGCTTTAGGGCTTTGGGCTTTAGGGTTTAAGGCTTCTGGCGTGTTTTGTTGAGGCGTTGGTTCGTGCTTCTAGGTGTTTCGTGGTTGTTTCAAGTTTTTTGTGTTTATGGTACTCTGGTGGTTCGAATTCTATGGTTCCGAGTGCCGATGAATGCCTTGGAGTGGGCTTTGAAGCCCAAAGCCAGGGCTCTGGGCTTTGGCTTTCTTGTCTAGGATGCCCAGTAGTACCCTTATTCCCTTTTTGTAGTCCTAGGTTCCTTATAAAGTTGCCCAATACCAAAAAGAGAGGCCTTTTTATTCTTAGGTTACTGGGTATCCTAGTGTTTGATTCTTTTGTGTATGTGGGTTCCAGAGTATGGTCTGGAGATTTTTAGGGCGTCGATTCTTGGGGATAAGGCTTTGGTTCAAGGTTTTTCTAGTTCTCACTTCCAGGCACTCTGAGAGGCTCTGTAGGTCATTTTAGGTTCTTAGCTCTTGGTGTTTGAATGCTGGGTTCTGGTTTCAGACAAGTAGGGGTACCCTCTTGGGTGATTCTGCCGGATCTGTAAGCTCCGCACTGAAGCCCAACAGTCTCCCTTGCCCTGCGCCGCAGGTGGTGGGGAACTTGTTGCGTGCCGGACTGGCCCCAATCGTTCACGATGTGCCTCCGATGAGCCTCAGAGGGGTGTAGGATGTAGCATTCTGAGCTTATATAGGGTTTCGGATATGGTTGAACGGCCTATAGGATTTAGGGTCGTTCCTGATGTGCTTCAGATGAGGATTCTACCCCAAAGTACAAGAAAATTCCAAAGCAGGCAGTCTGTCACCGATTTTGGATCTTAAACTCAGAGTACCTTAAACCCTAGGTGTGGTTGACGGGTTTCCTGTGTTTAGGGCTCTAGGAAAGTCTGTGTAAGACCTTGTTGCACCGTCATTATAAAGTCATCTCGTTTGAATCCACAGTCCTAAACCATAAGATGTGCATCCTAGATCGTGGGCCTTAGACCCTGATTCCTAATTCCAAGCCTTGACGAAAGGAAATCCTGGCCTAATACTTATGCCTTCAAGGCGTGTTCTTTAAACCCTGAAAGTAACACCCAGACTTTCAATCCTGCCTCGACCTGAATCGGAGGCCTTTGCAAAATCAAGTCTGATGGTCAGATTCGGTTAATCCAAAAACTGGAACCTCACACCTTACAGCGCCAAAACCCTGAATCCTAAACCCTAAACCCTAAATCTTCGACCTTGATACCCAAACCTCCAAGTCCTGAAAAGGTTAAGGGCGAAGCCTTCGCCAAGCCTTTGTTGGATGCGGGGGCGCAGTGGGCCGGCACCTGCAAGGCCGTGGCGGAGCAGTGCCGCCCAGCTCAGAAAACACGCACTTCGCATCTGGGTCGGGGACCTGCAATACTGCAGGAACCTGATGAAGGAACCCTGGCTCCACACCCCCCGGTTTCATATAAGGAACCCCAATAAAGACCCAAGGTTTCTTAATCAGGTTCCCACATTATTGGAGCTCACAAATGATAACCAACATTGTGAGTACCAAACTCGAACCCTTCATCCCTAGACCCATCAACAAAAGCCCAAAGTAGAACTCCAACAGCCCTACAACCCCCAACCCCAATCCTATCGTCCTGAACGCCTGAAGCTTCAGTGGCCGCGGTGGCCTGGCCTACCTGCTAATCCGACGTGTGAAGTTCCCCTGCTCCCAAAGCTTGCAAGAAGTCTACGGCGCCCAACCTACTTCCTGTGCCTCTCATCCTGCTGGACCGCTGCAAACCCTAAAGCTCCACAATATCCCAAAACCCTGAAGCCCCATCCAAGACTTGAGACCCTCAGCTCGAATCACGAATCAGCAACAAGTTCGTTTACGACGCTGAGCGGAGCGCCACAAAGAAAGCAAACGCATCGTCACTAGGCCCCTTAACCATGCGACAGTAGCTATCACCGAAAAGGTAAGCCCCAAACCCGAATCCTATGCAAAACCCGATTGCCTAAAAGCCCTAACCATCGCTAGCCCGTGTAATCTCTAAATCACCCTATCGGCCCGAACCCTCACATGCTAAACACATCACTGAAGCCCGCTGGTCTGGCCCTTATTTTACACTGTTATAAGTTATAAGCGTGTATTTGTGAAAACGAAGTTCTACAATACCCATACAAAACCTGTACAACCCAATAGAGCTTGATACAGCCCCAGAAACCCTAGCAGAACCCTTTAAGGAACCTGTCTCCGCCGGCCCGCCCTGCAAACAAAAAGCGACACAAGGCGACGTGATCCTCACGGGACTACCGAGACCGGAGCCTCCTCTGAGCTGTTTGAATACAGTAAACCCCTTAAACTTGGAAACCGGATTAAGGCCAAAAAGAGCTGGGATTCCCTATACATTACTCTTAAGGATGGAGGCTAATGGGTTTCCAACTTTTGGGCTTCTACAATACCTTATTTCTCTAGGTGTAGATTCCTTTTGGGTCGAGTCCCTTTGCGTTTATCCCAAGGACCTATACGGTTTACCCCTTTAGGGGTTTAGGGTTTAGGGTTCTATGATTCGGTTTGGGTTTCGGGTTCCTTGTAGTTCTACGGTTATGTAAGGACCAGTCTTACGGTTTCAGGTTTGGGGCTTCGGGTCTGGGTTTAAGATTTCGGGGCTTTAGGGTTTAAGGTTTAAGTAACATTTTAGATTTTCATGGGTTCTTAAACCCAACAAGGAATAAACATGTAGATTTTTAATCCTATCCCAACCATGAACTAGGAACCCGGAAGCATGACCAACAGTTTTTTGCGCTGAGATCTACAGCATCTACAGCCCGAATCCAACCTCAACCCCTAAACGCCACAATCCCCAGAGCAGCAAATCCTAGAGAAGGCACGACACAGAATCATGGGGTCTCGGAATGGTAGGTTATGAAGTTATAGTCGATCCGCAGGTAAACGCGACCCATTCCCGCCCAGGAGCATGTCTCAGCAGCAATGGGGATCGACGGAGACCGAGTCAAAGATGATGGCCTGTTTGCTGCACATACAGTAGAAGCCAGAAAGTTGGAATATCATTATCATAATCCCTTTAAGGTAAAGTATAGGGGATCCTACCATTAATCCATATTCCAACTTTCTGGAGTTCCCTTTAGATGGGTTGAAAGGTTCAGGGCTTGAGGGTTTTAGTGTATTTGTGGTCAGGTTTCTTCATGGGTTTTTTTGGGTGTTTTATTGCTTTTGGGTCTATGGCTTCGGGTCTAGGTCCTTACGGTTAGGCGGTTGTGCAAAGAGTCCGGATGGACCAAACAATCCCAGGGCTTCGGGTTCAGGGGTTTCGGGGATCTACATGGGTGGTTGTCAAAATTAGGGTCCCTGTTATAATACGGCACCTAATATTTGGGATCGACATAGACTAGGATGCCCTTTAGTAGCCTTATTCCCTTTTTTGTAGTCCTAGGTTCCTTAGACAGTTACCCAATACCAAAAAGAGAGGCCTTTTTGTTCTTAGGTTACTGGGTATCCTAGTAGAGAGCAGGGTCCAGGGGAGCTTGGTATTGGATTGAGCCGCCGCTACAATATGGGAAGTTCTCTGAATTATTCAGGTCCCTCTAGGGCCATGCCATCTTCTTGCGGGCGCCTTAAAAGGGACCCTAGTTTAAACAACTTTCCATATTTCGCACAACTACCAAGTAGCAGCATTGTCCTTTGGTGGTCCTTCATGTAATGCTTGCACAACACAGCCCCAAACCCTCTTCCAGGCCCTCCGGCCCCTGTATTGAGCGGGTTTCACCTGAAGCCTGCTAGGATGCTATGCAGATGGACCATGATGTTTACTATCATAAGTGTTGTTGTGATTGTTATGATTGTCGTTGTTATTGGAATTGTTATCATGATCACTATGATTATGAGCCAGTGCACAGCCTGACTCCTTGATCGAACCTCTTGGACTGAACCTGCATCCATACCTTAGAAGGGGCCCCCACCCTGTGATGGTGACTATAAGGATTTTATTAGGGCCCTATTCTATTCCGATTATACCACTATTACAGGGTGGGGGCCCCTTCTAATCCATACCTAGAAAATCCAAAACCTTGGTTTTTTTCCTTGGCTGGCCCGGCAAGTATGGAGTAAATAATAACCTACTATGTTTCTAGGGTGTGGCGCTACATGTAATTCTTATTCTCAAGACTGACATGAATCAAAGCACTCGTAATGCCGCAGCAAAACCACTGGTAATTAGTTCGTGACTCTTGCACATGTGGAGTATGAACCCACCCCCTTTCCCAGGCACGCACAGAGCAGTCCTAACACCCTAACAGCTACCTGACCCATGCTGGCTCCTACACACCAGTACTACTCAGGAATGTATTATGGGCTGGAATAGCACCCGTCGAAGCCTCCGTATGGATAGACTGAACCATTATGGTACCACCCCTCCTCCAACAAAAAGCTCGACATCCCTCATGGAACGCATGCAAAGCCATTGTACTTATTGAGGCCCTTCGGTTTGCTCAAGACTTGACGCTACAGGAACAATCGTAGTAGTGGTAATCATAGCAATATCAGCAATAGCTGTAATGCTAGCAAAATAGTATCTAAGACTAGGTTTGCAGCAGCAGCAGCAGCAGGAGGAGGAGGAGGAGGAGGAGGAGGAGTGGTAGTGGTAGTGGTAGTGGTAGTGGTAGTGGTAGTGGTAGTGGTAGTAGTAGTAGTAGTAGCAGCAGTCGTCATCGTCGGCGTCGTCGTTGTAGTTTTAGCGGAAATGAATGCCGGGAACATTCCTGCATAAGTATGAACTTAGTGGTAGGGGAAACTACCTTAACCGGAAAGAACCTACCCTTTTAAGGACTTATATAAAAGAAGTCATATTAGGGAACCCTAAAAAAGGGCAGGTTCTTTAGGGTCCAGGTAATGCCAAGAACGACGCTGCAGGTATTCTTGCGGGACTGAAGCCTGGCGCTGTCTGGATCGAGCACTCCACGACGGATGCTCTCTTAGCCTTGATTGCCTACCCCGAGAGTTTAGGGAGTTTAGAGTTTAGGGCGCGAGCTTAGGGAGTTTATTTAGAGTTTAGGGCGCGAGTTTAGGGAGTTTATTTAGAGTTTAGGGCGCGAGTTTAGGGAGTTTAGAGTTTAGGGCTTACTGTAGGGCTTAGGGTTGAGGGTGTGCGGCTTACGGCTTCATTGCCTACCCATAGAGTTTAGGGAGTTTAGAGTTCAGGGTTTAGGGTTTAAGGGCTCATAGGTCTTTTTGATCAGGTTTGATCTTTAGTTGAAAGCGAGAAGCTATGTGCAATGTAAGGTAAATAAGTTCCTCAATTAAGGGGTATTTGGCTGTCCGGACATGCAGACCTTAAGCCTAGGCCTTCAAAAACGCAGACGGACAGAGACAGAGTCAAGCTGAAATTCCCAGGTCCTGTCGGAGAATGGATACAGACAGCGAGCGCGAGAAAGAGAGAGAGAGAGAGAGAGCGAACCAAAATTCTAAGCCCTGTCCTGAACCTTCGTCCCTGGTTTTCTTTCCCAAGGGAAATTCTAAACCGTTTGTCCTAAGTTAAGTCCTTGACCCTGAAACCTCTACGTTGAAGAAAAGAGGAGTCAACCCTGAAGCCCGCAAAGGTCCTAAGCAGCCTTTTCCCGAAACCCCGTAAACTCAGTTTCACTAAGCGGCCTAAATCCAAAATCAGTACCTAGACTCTAGATAAATCCGTAAAGCCCGAAACCATAAAATCGGACTTGGCACCGTCACAAAATCTTCTTAAACCCGAAATCCTCAGCTTACAGCCCTAAATAATCGAAGACCCTAACCCTGAAAGGAAAATCTCTGACACCCTAAAAACCCTGAGCCCTTAACCACCAACCCGAAAAACCCTGCACCTGAAGCCCTAAGGCTTGCGCCCTTAACACCCTGACAGAATAGACTAGAACATAGCGTACTATAGTACTATAGCTACCTATCTATCTATCTATCTATCCGTCGATTCATCTATCTATCTACATATATATATATGCATAATCTAATTCAATTTAATACATATTTTCGAAAATGTAAGATTCAGTTCTATTAAGACTACGAGAAAGTAGCAGATATTACCACGGGAGAGCCCAGGACTTCGAGAACACGGTGAAGATACGCGCAGAGGTGGAGAAGCGCGGGGCCAAGGCAGGAGGGGAAGAGGTTTAGGGGTTTGGGGTTTAAGGGTTTGGGGGTTGAGGGTTAAGGGGTTTGTTGTTTAAGGTTTAGGGTTTTAGGTTTTGGGTTTAGGATCTACTGCTGGTTTTGAAAGTGTTTGCGAACGGGTGCTTATAGGTTTTGTTTGGTTTGTGGCTTTGAAGAGTATCCTGGATATTTATCGTGTTTGATAGAGCCACAAAGTTGGCGGACCAACAGACCACGGAAACAGGCTTTCATTTTCAGGTGGGGCTTGGGATTTGGGAGAATGCGGTGCCCAAAGGGGCACTATGGGAGAGGGCTCTATCAACCAGGAGTCTACATTAGGAGTTTAGGATACCTGGTCCCTAGAAGCCCTTTCTGTTCAGGTGTGGGATTTTGGCGCTTTCATGGGTTCTGATATACGCCTCCTTAGGCTTTGGAGTCAGGGAACAGACCCGATTGGGGCTGCAATGCCCTGCATACTCGTCTGATGTTGTACGCCGGGTTTTAAGGTATTCGTGAGGCTTCAAATTATAGCATCCCTTATACGCCCCTTTTAACAACCCTTTAAAGGGAACCATATCAATCATAATTTACAGAGCTTAAGATGTCGATTTCAGGGAGCATTTGCATCAGCAAAGTGCAGGCTCTTACCGTCAAGTCAGCGGTACCAGCTGGCGTGCTTTGTGCAGGCTGTGGCAGCACCTGTCACTGGTGGAATGCAGATCTTGACGCTGAGATTGCAACAGCATAGTTCAGATTGTAATTGTTGTAGTTGAGTATGAGTTTCCTTAGTCCTAGATCTCCAAACCTGACAAGCCCTCCCCACACCATCTTAGGTGGATGTCTTGAAATTAGGGTCCGTGTTCGAGGGGTCCATGACACTGTTGGGTCCCCGATTTGCTGGAATCCGACGCCTTGAATCCCAAAGCTGTACACTTGCCCTGCACCCCTTATCCCTCAAAGTAGCGCTAGCCTGATAATGGGTAGTTGAATTTGGTGTCCCTTTTTAAGTTACCAACTTAGTACAACACGCTTATAAAAAGGACTCTAAGAGAGGCCCTAGTTTAGAAAGCTACCCATATGGCCTCTGTAGAACTCTTACAGTTCGAACCTTTTTGAACCCTTGTAGAACCAAGCCCTCAAGGAGCCTCAGGCCCCGCGCTCTTCGCTGAAGAGAACCTTATATGAATGTTCACTAGCACAAGAAACTCTTTACACCTCTGGCAAGAAGGAAACCCAACAAACGAAGAAGAAGAGAAGACCACGACAGCCAAGAGGAAGCATATCCCTGAGCCTTAAATCCCTAAAGCCCACACCTCTGAACCCTACAGCCCTAAAGCTCCGAACTCTTTGTTGTCCGGCTCTGGTTTAGTGCATGTATGCGTTTCATCTCGCAGATCTGCCTAAGTGTTTTTACAGATCGAGACAGGCTGGGAAGGAGATGTGCGGCGTTGCCGGTTAGGGGATTTTGAAACTTAAGCTTTTTGGATTTTAGGGGCTTTAAGTTGCAGTAAGAAGTCGCAGTTAGGGTGTAGTGTCCAAGGCGTACGTACGACCTGTCGGGGCCTGGCTCCCAATGTTGTTTTCCCCTTTCTTTGCAGCACGCGGCCCCCTTTGTTGTCCCCTTGTTTCTTCAAACATCAGTCAGGGTGCCCACCCCCACCCCTAAAGAAGACATACATACGTAGACAGACAGACAGACAGAGGAGACATTGCAGACAGACGACTTCTGCACTGAAGTCCAGGTCCAGAGGAAGTACAGAAACGCTGAAAACAAGCCAACACTACGCGCCAATTCCCGCTATTGCTACTACGACAATTGAACATCATGTTTGCTAGTCTTGCTGCCTCGATTACGAATACGACTTCTGTCACTACCACTAGTGTTATCACCACTGTTATCCGTTAACCTCCGGCCTCATGCGCGTGTTGTGTCCTGGCCCCACCGCATGCAGGAAAGTGGGGAAGATGGTAGCACTGGTGCTCCGCCGGCAGTAGAATTACAATGTCAACTGGGTTGAGGGCTAACAGCACGCCTTAGTTCGGTTATTTTGGGATTGAGTTGCGATGGTCTACCTTAGTTTAATGACCATTCCTAGTTCTGGTTCCTGGGCCGTGGCGTGGGTATTTGGGCTTTCTAAAACCTTCAACCTGGGTTCTTTGATTGCTTGGTTAAGGCGCAAAAGCTTAGGTTTGTCAAGGCTTTTTTAGGGCATATGGGTTCGAGGCTTTAGAGTTCCACTGCCGCCCTGACTTGAACCAGGTGCTGGTGAACATCCAGAGTGTCAGCAAGCGATCTTGAACTCAGGGCATTTGAGTTGAGTCACATGCCCGTGCCGATGCCCCAAGCGTAAGCCAAACCTCAAGTGCTAATATGTTCTCCAAGCCTCATTGCCCAAAATGTTCGAACTCTGAACCCTAACCTTACCTTTGGTTAGTAGGGAATGGAGGAATGGGGTACAATTATAACTACTGTTACTACCATTCTTCCATTCCCTACTAACCAAAGGTAAGCAACATGGCTCTTCATGTTCAGCCCCGAACTGTAGTGACCCTGGTTGAGGTCGGTGCAGACGAGGAGACGTTCCAGCGCGCCCCAAGGCTGCTTGAGGTCTCATTTCCCAGCCCGAGGAGCCTCCTTTTTGTAATACAGAGGCCTAAATCGAATAGGGATTCTTTACAGGAAGGGTTCTATAGGGGATCTATAAGGGGGGGTCTATTGGTATTGGGGGCTTAAAAACTAGAAGACAATTGGCCCGAAAGCATCATCAGCGAAGAGTGTGGGGCTATGTGATAGATCCAGTGTGTAGGATCGTATGCAGATACAGTCAAGAGTCATGGAGTCCATGAGTCATGAGTCATAAAGTCATAGAGTTACAGTGAGATAGCGTCATAGAGTCATAGTGGGATCAAGTCGCAGGGTCATGGAGTCATCTATGTAGCATGCACTTGACTCGATGTAGTTCACTCTATGCTCTATGTGTGGGAACGCTTAATCGAGATCCCCGTAGCGTGGTGGCTCATAGCCCGACCGGGACCTCGAGATGCAGATACAGTCAAGAGTCATGGAGTCCATGAGTCATGAGTCATTAAGTCATAGAGTTACAGTGAGATAGCGTCATAGAGTCATAGTGGGATCAAGTCGCAGAGTCATGGAGTCATCTATGTAGCATGCACTTGACTCGATGTAGTTCACTCTATGCTCTATGTGTGGGAACGCTTAATCGAGATCCCCGTAGCGTGGGGGCTCATAGCCCGACCTGGACCTCGAGATGCAGATACAGTCAAGAGTCATGGAGTCTATGAGTCATGAGTCATACAGTCATAGAGTTACAGTGAGATAGCGTCATAGAGTCATAGTGGGATCAAGTCGCAGAGTCATGGAGTCATCTATGTAGCATGCACTTGACTCGATGTAGTTCACTCTATGCTCTATGTGTGGGAACGCTTAATCGAGCTCCCCATAGCGTGAGGGCTCATAGCCCGACCTGGACCTCGAGAGGCACATACAGTCAAGAGTCATGGAGTCCATGAGTCATGAGTCATAAAGTCATAGAGTTACAGTGAGATAGCGTCATAGAGTCATAGTGAGATCGAGTCACGAGTCATGGAGTCATCTATGTAGCATGCACTTGACTCGATGTAGTTCACTCTATGCTCTATGTGTGGGAACGCTTAATCGAGATCCCCGTAGCGTGGTGGCTCATAGCCCGACCGGGACCTCGAGATGCAGATACAGTCAAGAGTCATGGAGTCCATGAGTCATGAGTCATAAAGTCATAGAGTTACAGTGAGATAGCGTCATAGAGTCATAGTGAGATCAAGTCAGAGTCATGGAGTCATCTATGTACCATGCACTTGACTCGATGTAGTTCACTCTATGCTCTATGTGTGGGAACGCTTAATCGAGATCCCCGTAGCGTGGGGGCTCATAGCCCGACCTGGACCTCGAGATGCAGATACAGTCAAGAGTCATGGAGTCTATGAGTCATGAGTCATAAAGTCATAGAGTTACAGTGAGATAGCGTCATAGAGTCATAGTGAGATCAAGTCGCAGAGTCATGGAGTCATCTATGTACATGCACTTGACTCGATGTAGTTCACTCTATGCTCTATGTGTGGGAACGCTTAATCGAGATCCCCGTAGCGTGGGGGCTCATAGCCCGACCTGGACCTCGAGAGGCACATACAGTCAAGAGTCATGGAGTCCATGAGTCATGAGTCATAAAGTCATAGAGTTACAGTGAGATAGCGTCATAGAGTCATAGTGAGATCAAGTCGCAGAGTCATGGAGTCATCTATGTACCATGCACTTGACTCGATGTAGTTCACTCTATGCTCTATGTGTGGGAACGCTTAATCGAGATCCCCATAGCGTGAGGGCTCATAGCCCGACCTGGACCTCGAGAGGCACATACAGTCAAGAGTCATGGAGTCCATGAGTCATAAGTCATAAAGTCATAGAGTTACAGTGAGAGTAGGTCGCCACGTTGCTTGCTCGCTCTTTCGCAAGACAGCGTCGAAGCAAGCAAGCAACGGTGCAACCTAGCCAGAGCGAAGAATTCGCGGCCCGCACGGCTCACCGTGGAGTCAAGGGCCGCGCGGCCTGAGGAGGTGCCGGGAGAGGTCATCCCAGGGATTACGGCGGTCCGGAGCCTCATGAAAACTGCTGATTGTAGTTGCAAAGGTTCATCGGGAGCCCCGAGCCTCCATAGCACGCATTATACCAACCCAAGGTATAGTATCATGGAAGAAGAAACATAGCGGCAGCTGACGAACATCCCCAAACGGAAGTCGCAACACTGGTCTCTGAAAGTAGCAGGGAATTAGGGTTTCGCTCTTCATCTCAAACCACAAGAGGCCAGCGTATGTTTCTTAGCCGACCCAACAGACTCCAGGGGAACGCCACGGGCTTAGGGGTCCTTATTTCGTGTCTATCCACACCGGATAATCCACGAGGGCCTAGTAGGACTAATGCAGGGATCACGGTGGTCCGGAGCCTCCTCTAGAAAGATTGATTCTAGCTGCAGACATTCATCGAGAGCTCCAGGCTTCGGTGACACCCTGTGTATCAACCCTTGGTATACTATCTCAGAAGAAGAAACCCGGCGGCATCTGGCAAACATTCCCAAGCGGCAGTCACAACACGGGTCTCTCAAAGGATGATTGGGGGTTTAAGATCTATCCTATACCACAAACGGGTCCACCTCGCTGAGCCGCTGCGCGACTCGTGCCGCCGGGAGTCCAGCAGCGGAAGGCAGTGCAGCCATTAGGGATTTGGGAAGACACCGTTCCGAAGTGAAACACCCCACTTCACTAGGAAACCCGCCAGATGCCGCGAAGTATTTAACCCGCCAAGCAATCGAGGAGCTCCTGCGTCTCGATGAACCTTTATCTGCTCACAGGATGTCGCGGCCAGGAGATGAACCGAGGCATTGGGAATCACTACGCTTCCGCCGCACCAATGTACCAATGCGAGCACTTGAAGTTGCCGTTGATGGTTCGCCCATCATAGTTCTCGCTCGGCAGCCTTCGGTTGTCAATCGGCCTGAGATGTCCACGGTACCTCACGACTTCATGGTGGAATTCTGCACATCGGCTGGATCTGTTGACGCATCCATAGTCTTGATGTTCACATCTGCTTGATGTTGGGCTGGATTTGTTGACGCATCCATAGTCTTGATGTTCACATCCGCTCGATGTTGCAACGGCAACTGCAACATGTCC